TAAATTATTTATCAGATTTTTTTACACCCAAAAACTTTAAAAAATATATAGGAATTTTTATTATAAAAATTTTTCTTTAAAAATGGTTTAAAGAAAAAATAATATATAAATATTAATATATAGGTTATAGTATGAACAAGTTTGTAGAGAGCAACGTCAGGAAACTGAACAAACTGAAACAGGAGCGAATAAATAGCGCGAACAAAATCACACAAGCAACAAAAAACAGGCTAAATCAGATCGTAACACTTTACAAAGATAGGAAAATCGCAAATGTAGCAACCGCCGAGAACTTCATAAAAAGCCTTACCAGCACCAATAAAAGAACAGCAGAAAAAGCGAGGGACAAATACAACGAAACAATTAAGGACATTAAAAAGTCAAAACCACTAAACGAAAGAATAGCCGAAAAGAAAGGTATGAATACTTATTTGGTGAATTTTCAACTTTATGTGGTTAAAGACCCTGCGAAGGCAAAAATGAAACCTGCATTTACAAGAAATGGAAAAAGTTTTTACATTGAAAATTTCGATATAAGACAGGCGACTGTAAAAGCAAAAACGTTTGACACTAAATGGATAAAGAAGATTATTTATAAAATATATGATACAAATGATGACAACGAAATAGAAAAAACAACTGTATTATATGATTTAGGCAATGGAGTTAAAAAATTAGTGAGCTATGTATATAAACAATTAATTGATATATTAAGGACAGATAAAGACTTTAATGAATTTATAAAGGGGTTTCAGCAAGTATACACAGATATTTTTGATGCGATCAAAATTCAACAGGTGGAAAAAATCAGTAAAAGCGGTGAGAAGTTTGACATAATGAAGGAAAGCCTCACAGATGGAATACAACAGGTATCGATGTATCACCGCTATATTTACACAGACCTTAACAGCAACTTAACAACATTGAGACAAGCAATTGAAAATAGCACACACGTAGAAAATCAATGTTGGATAAATTCACTATCCGATTTTTACCGTGATACCTTAATGGACTATGGCAAAAGAAATCAACTGACTAGGGAAAAAATTATTGAAATTATAGGCAGAAGCGATTTTTACAGCAATGGAGCGAGCATTGAAGAAATGGATAAGGTCTTTAAGGCATTCAAAATACCAGCTAGAATTTACAACAGCTTCAACAAACTGATTTACAAACACGAGCCCGAGCACAACAAACGAAGAATAAAGCCATTTTACGCCATCGTAAAAAACAGCCATATATACACGATAAATAACGATCTAAAAAGTATAGAACATAAACAAAACGAAGAAGAAGAAAGACCACTGGTGAAAGCCTCCACAGACTACCATTTAAACGAAAAGGAAGAGCCACCCGAATTTAGAATGTTCAGAGATACACACGACATTTTAAAAATGGTCAGTAAAGATAAGGACGCGTCGGCTGACGCCTCGCGAGGCTCTCGCGAACCGAAAACTATTCATTTAGTGCCCGAGCTAAACAATTTGACAGAGATATTTTTTGAACTAGTGAATGCTAGATACGAGCCACAGATCAGATTTCAAGCAGGCATCATAACACAAATAAAAATGAAACTTAAAAAAACCACCTTTATAATAAAAACCCAAAATCTGATTAAAGACTCGTCTGATGGATGTATCGCAGTTGATAACGAAAAAACATACAACAATATGAACGATGCAATGTTTCATTTTAACAAGAGTCTGTTTAATCCATTGCACAAGTCGTTTTATAACAAAGTGGATTTGGAAATTTACCACGAAGCAAAAACCATACCGCCAGCAGGACTTTTCACAGACAAGGGTTCCATACCAAAAAACCTAACCGAGATTGACATAACCAAAGCTTACACAAGCAGACTAGTAGGGATTACACAGGTGCCGGTTTTCAATCAGTTCGATGTTTGGAGAAAATGGTTTAAAGAGATGGATTTTAACACGATGTCGGATTACACTTTATTTTTCGTTGAAGATTGTAGCCACTATGGAATTGTAAAACCCAGCACCTTTTTAATGTTTAACAAGAGGTATAACCTGATTTACGGAAAATATTTGAAACAAATTGACACTAATAAACTGAACATATTGTATTATAAGACACCATCCTTTATTCACGAGGTAAATTATAACGATTATGTAAAAGAATTATGGAACAAAAATATTAGCGACGAAGAGGAACTGGATAAACTGATTAAAAAACTTATTGTAAATGTCAATATCGGACTTTTGGAAAAAACGGGTAGCACTGATCAAAAAAGCATCGTCTTTAAGAACATTAGGGAGGCATCGGATTTTCAATTAAGGCACGGAGGTAAAATTCACAAAATAACAGAAATGGAATGTAGAAACGAAACAACTTATGAAGGTGATATAGAAAACGATGACTTTACTATGCAATTACAGACGACAGAAGAAGAAGGTATGGAATATTATTTAGTTAATGTTTCAGACAAGGCAACATTAAACAACGGTTTTATTTACATAAAAGAGCTGTTGCTTCAAGATCATAATTTTAAAATGTGTCAGGATTATAATAAATTAAGGAAAAATTCTATAAAGGCAGTCAGTGTAAAAACAGATGCATTTGTTATTAAATCCGAAGATGTGGAAAAAGCAAAGGAAGTATTAGAAATGAAAGCTGGTATAGGAGAATGGAGAACGAATAAAGAAGGAGAGGAAGTAAAACTGCCGAGTGAAACATATCAAAGGAAAAAGAACGAACTGGATAAAATCCCCGTCTACAAGAATACAGCAATAAAAATTAAGGACGAATATGATACAAAAAATATCATAGAAAAAGTTATTAGCGCTAAACACGTTATGATCAGGGCAAAATATGCAGGATCCGGAAAAAGTTATATTTGTGAAAAAATGGCGCGAATGGGAATGAATGTTTTATTTGTATGTCCTACAAATAAGCTAGTCCAAAAATACGGAAAGGAAGCGGTAACAGTTAATAAGTTTTTTGCCATAGCAGTCGGTGACGAGAAGTTAGAAAAGTTTGATTATTCCGGTTATGATGTTATAGTGTTTGACGAGATTTATTTTAATGGTTTAAGGGTATTGAATAGAATTAGGGAGTTTGTTGAAAACAACCAAGATAAAATAATAGTGGCAACAGGAGATGGTAAGCAATTAAAACCAGTATCGGAATTAACAAATTTACAGGAGCACGAAGAATATGCTGATAATTGTGTTGATAAGATTTTTAAATATAATATTTATTTGAAAGTTTGTAAGAGGTTAAGAAAAGAGGAAGACAGGAAAAAATTAGAAAATATTTATATCGACATTTTTGAAAATAACATTAAGGTCAGAGAGCTAGCAGAAAAATATTTCAAATACACTTCCGACATGAACCTAAACGAAAATAATGTAGCTTATTTGAACGACACCTGCAAGGAAGTAGCAAACCAAATAAGAAAAAAGCAGAATAGAAAGGGTGAATATGAAGTAGGCGAGGTGATGATATGCAGAGAATATTTAAAATCAACAGAATATAAATTTCAAGTTAATTTTAAATACAAGATTTTAAACATAATTGAAAATATGGTAGTGTTGGAAGACGAGCACGATAAGAAAATACAAAAATTACCGTTAGATATGTTGAGGAAGCATTTTATTTTCAATTATTGTTATACCTGCCACAGCGTCCAAGGTTCCAGCATCGAGGGAGGTATAACAATATTTGATTACAATCATTGTTTGGTAGATAAGAATTGGATATGGACAGCGATCACGAGGGCAACTGATTTAAATAATGTGAGCTTTTATAAATATGATGATGATGACGACGATTTTAATAAAAACTGTATTTACAACTATTTGAAAAGAAAGGTGGAAGGATATAAGGAGCAAGACAGAAAAGCTAAAAGGAAAATTGACCATAAAAACTATATTACAGCAGATTGGTTATTAGATAGATTGAATGGAAGGTGCGAATTATGCAATGTAGATTTTTATGTAAAGTCAATAAACGGAAATATAAGAACGAACCTGACGGCGCAAAGAAAATTTAACGACCAAACTCACACGATAAGCAACTGCATAGCATATTGCAAAAAATGCAACTGCTGTATGAGCGACAAGGAAAAGTTTTAAAAAGATTTAGTTTTAAAAAAAACTTTTATATTATATTGTATATATGCCCGTCAGTAAAACCAAGGTTGTTAAAGAGGAAACCATAGTAGAAAAACCGAAGGAGGAAGAAGAGCAAGGATTTAACGAAAAAGTTTATGATATGATGTCAGAGGTGTATCATAAAATGGATTTGATGTTAGAAAAAATTGAGGCTATCAGTGAAAAACCTAAATCCAGAACAGGCAATTTAAATACCGAAGCATCATATACAAACAAAAGAAACGCCTATATCAAGAAATTAAACGAAGGAGCAATTTTACAGCCTAAACCGGAAACAATGGAATATTACAAGGTTGTAAAGGAGGGCGACAAATATGTTTAGATTTTTACAAAGTTTTTTACAAAGATAATTTATAAAATGCAATTTTTCAACAAATATTTTTGGAAGATTTTTAAGATGAAAATTTTGAAACATTATTTTTATGAAAATTTTGGAAAATTTTATGATGAAACTTTTAATATTTTTTATCATAAAATTATTGATTTTTTATTGAGATTTTTTGCGAGGAACGGTTGAGGGTCGGATGTCAAAAATGAGCAAAAATTTATTGAAATGTTGAAAACGTAGGGTAGACCCTAGCAAAAAAACGTGTGAGGGTTGAGCGGGGTGTAAAAAAAGTGGGGCATACCCTGTCCTAACTTAATTAGGGTTTAGGAATTCAGGTTTTAGGATTTAAACCCCCCTAATTTTAAACTTTTTTCGGGCCCAGGCGAATTTCAGAATTTAGTATTAGGGGGAAAAGATTAGAATCCCCATTTATATACCTTTTTTTAGCTGGGGTCATATACCCTATATGCCACTGCAATCCCTAGTAGGGTATATGAGCCATAAACCCTCTTAGGGTTCATCCGGGCCACAAGGAATGGCAGCGAATCAGCCCGCCGAGTCCAGTGAGCAACATCAGCAGAACGAGCAGAGTCCTCACTTTCCTCACCTCTACTTGAGCGCGTATGGGCAGCGGAATTATCTCATCTACTTGGGCCTCCTTGTGATCTTCCACGGCGGCCTCTTCATGGCCTTTCCAGACACGATCCACGCGCATCACTACTGGCTGGGCGTCGTCGTGGCCTCCTGCTGCATCTTTCCAACGCCCCTGTCGAGGCTGATGCTCCTGAAGTCTGTTGCTGGGCACAGAGTAAGTGTATGCATGCTGTTTCGATACAGATTTTTCGATACCAATGTAAACCGCTCAATTTTTTGTAGGCTCCAATGAAGGGGGAACTCCCAAGCTTGAACCGCTCTCAGCGCCCCAGGTAATGATGGCCATCGATGGTATTGGGGTATGGGGTGCAGATGCCATCGTGGGCAAGGACGACGGTAACATGTCTGAGAGCGATGCTGACTACCGTCTGATGTTATGCGTGTTCCTTGGCTTCCCAGCAGTTTGATATTCTTTGGGGACGAAATGGACCCTAAAAATGGGGATCATCCCCCTATGTTTATATGATTCCTATCAGGAACCACAAACTTTTTAGGGTTCATTTAGTCTGCTCGGCTTCCGTCCAGTATCAAGACCATCCCAAACCTCCTCTCGCAGAGGACTGCGTAGGACTCACTCACTGTGTGTGTGTGTGTGTGTCTGTGTGTGTCTGTGTGTGTCTGTGTGTGTCTGTGTGTGTGTGTGTGTGTCTGTGTGTGTCTGTGTGTGTCTGTGTGTGGTGTGTGTGTGTGTGTGTGTGTGTCTGTGTGTGTGTGTGTGGTCGTGTGTGTCTGTGTGTGTCTGTGTTGTCCCTGGTGTGTCTCTGTGTGTGTCTGTGTGTGTGTGTCTCTGTGTGTGTCTCTGTGTGTGTGTCTCTCTGTGTGTGTCTGTGTGTGTCTCTGTGTGTCTCGTGTGTCTCTGTGTGTGTCTCTGTGTGTGTCTCTGTGTGTGTCTCTGGTGTGTGTGTGTCTCTGTCTCTGTGTGTTGTGTCTCTGTGTGTGTCTGGGTGTGTCTGTGTGTGTGTCTCTGGTCTGTGTGTCTGTTGGTGTGTCTGTGTGTGTCTGTGGTGTCTGTCTGTGTGTGTCTGTGTGTGTCTGTGTGTCTGTCTGTGTGTGTCTGTGTGTGTCTGTGTGTGTCTGTGTGTGTCTGTGTGTCTGTGTGTGTCTGTGTGTCTGTGTGTCTGTGTGTGTCTGTCTGTGTGTGTCTGTCTGTGTGTGTCTGTGTGTGTCTGTGTGTGTCTGTGTGTGTCTGTCTGTGTGTGTCTGTCTGTGTGTGTCTGTCTGTGTGTGTCTGTGTGTGTCTGTCTGTGTGTGTCTGTGTGTTCTGTGTGTGTCTGTGTGTGTCTGTCTGTGTCTGTGTGTCTGTGTGTGTGTGGTCTGGGTGTGTGTCTGTGTGTGTGTCCTGTGTGTGTGTTGTGTCTGCTGTGTGTGTGTCTGTGTGTTGTGTGTCCTGTCTTGTGTGTGTGTGTCCTGTGTGTGTGATGTCTGTGTGTGTGTGTCCTGTCTGTGTGTGTGTGTCTGTCTTGTGTGTGTGTGTCTGTGTGTGTGTGTGTGTGTGTCTGTGTGATGTCTGTGTGTGTGTGGTCCTCTGTGGTGTGTGTGTCTGTGTCTGTCTGTGTGTGTGTGTTCCTGTCTGTCTGTGTGTGTGTGTCTGTCTGTGTGTGTGTGTCTGTCTGTGTGTGTGTGTGTGTGTCTGTCTGTGTGTGTGTGTGTCTGTCTGTCTGTCTGTCTGTGTGTGTGTGTGTGTCTGTCTCTCTCTCTCTCTCGGTTGCGGGTGGGTGGGGGTGGGGGTGGGGGTGGGTCGGTGGGTGGGTGGGTGGGCGGGTGGGTGTTTTCTCTGCTGCTCCTGAACATTGGGGTAGCGGGTATCGCAGGCTTGTCGTCGGGGCGTTTGCGCTGGCAGTCTGTGTCAACTTACGACGCGATCCACGCCTGAACGCATGGATAACTGCCGGCCAGAGGCAGCGAGCCACAGACACTGAGTGAGCGTTTCAGTTCAGAGTGTCTGACTTCACTGCGCAGGCGACTGTAGTACTTGCCCAGCCACAACATGTCTGTATGTCCATATGTTGCGTATGCCGACAGGCTCGCCCGACAATTTCTGCTGTTCCGGGGCTACCCCTCAACCCGAAGTTAAGTACCCTAAACCCTAAACCCTAAACCCTAAACCCTAAACCCTAAACCCTAAACCTTATGCGGCTGGTTCGGACGGTTTGCTGACGAATTGGCGCTCCCATTGCGATCCGCTAGACTCGGCCAAAGGCCTCAGATCTTCGCGCAGCTCTGTGGAAAAGGGGGGGCCAGCCACTATTATCCTTTGTGGTGCTTTACTGTAACTTTACATCTTTAACCTTTTTGGGTTTGTTGGGTTTCTTAATATGGCAGCTAAAAGTTTAGTTTTTAGCTACCCCCCTGAGTGCAGCCAAGTATCTTATGATTTGGTTTAGAGGATGTGTGTGCAGCCGAGGGGTGGAAGCAATGTGGTTTGAGGTAACCTTGGCCTTAAATTTTTAAACCTAAGATCAAGCTGTGGTGAAGAAACCAGGGTCTTTGTGGTTTTGATCGTATGGTATAGTGTGGTAGAGCTGCGCTGGAGAACAGTGGCCCCACAAGTGAAGAGGCCCGCCAGGTAGCTTGGCTTTTCTGCCGTGGCGCAGTCAGGTCACAATGCCCCAGTTTCTTATCAGCAGAAAAGAGGCTAGTGGTAGTGGTAGTAGTCGTCGTAGTAGTAGTAGGAGGAGGTGCAGGGGGAGCAGGAGGTAGTAGCTGTAGTAGTAGTCCTGCCAAGTCATGAGGCTCAAGTGTGAAGGTCCGCCACCTGTGATGTTGACAACAGTCATGTTCGCTATATTGGCCAAACGCTTATCGCTGGAACGACAGATGTTTCAAGACGTATCCTAGTTCCCTGACGGCTCCCGACTTCGTCGTGTGGCCTGAGACGTGCATAAGTTGGAAGAAGCCTACGTGACCTGCACCGCTGGAATTGTCAGCTGCAAGAAGGTGAAGAGCTTCCTCTGCCAAAAGCAGGAGCGACGAACACGCATCATTCAGATTGTGCCCAGAAAATGTGGCCGTTGCCGGGCCTGCTTCTGTTGGCATCGGAAGCTGTTGATCTGCAGCATGCGCCATGAGATGCAGATTGAGTCGATGGCTCTGCGAGGCTTCTGCTTCTGTTGCTTGAGCTGCGCAATGCCGTAAAGGCTTGCGCTTGCGAGCCCTTGAGGGCTTGAGTTCGGGCTCGGGAAGAAACCGCTTAAGCTGAGGAAGTTCGGCGGCTGAGGTGTTTCAGAAGGCACAAGATCTTCTTGGAGGCATCTTGGGGTTTGCCTGCTCCACAGCGAAGGAAAGTTGCGGAACGCCCCTTCTCACCAGCTTGTGCTTGCCCAAAACCTGCTCACCTTGCGCCGTTTGCTTCCAGCATCCTTCTTTTTTCCAAGCTGAAGCCGGGACCCATCATCCGTCTGATCTGCAAGGCGCATGCCCTGCGCCTATTCCGTTCTTCGGGTTTCCTCTGGTGGCCTCGACCCTCTCGCGGCAAAGTGTCGAAGACTTGCTTGAGGTGACCCATGGCGATCCCGACTTGAAATTCATTGAGTAGAAGGTGTCGCAAAGAACCCCAAGTTTCAGGAAGAAGGAGCTGTCCTTTTCTCAGGGGCGCTGCAGGCCCTCTGGTTCGGAGCCGACACGTTCCAACTGCTGGTAAGTGCTCTCCGCACTGATACCCCTTTTCAAAACGGGCGTGCGTTCGCCGCTGTTTCGTTGCTCGATCTACGCCCCTCTGAGATGACTTCCCCTCGCACTCCCTTCAGTGCAGCCGAGGGTGCGGCTACTGATGGCCGGCCGGGGCTGAGGTGATGCTTTCAGACAATGCGGACAATGCGCATCTCGCCCAGCGCGACTGAACATGCTTGTCAAAACGGCCGGCGCCTCAGTTTCATGAGGCCCGCTGTGGCAAGCTTCTGGGCTCTTGCTGCCTCTGCCTGCAGAGAAGCTGGGAGGGTCCTGCGCCTCATCGCCCTGATCAAGGACCATGGGGACTTATGCATCACATGCTACAAAGGAGTTCCTCCCATCATCATTCCCGGTTCTTCCCCGCGATGACGTGTTGTAGGCCCCGAAAGCAAGTCGCCAAAGTCACTTGGACAGATTCGACCGACGGCGGCGACGAAGCGCTTTGCGGCTTTCGGGCCGGCGCAGGGGCCACTTTGGTAACCAGAGCTCTAACTCGGCCTTGCTCCCGCGACCTTGCGCGCTCGTGTCTCTGTTGTCTCCGTTGCAAACGCGGGCCTCGCATCTGTCGCACCAGGCGTGTCTCAACACCTCTCTGCAGACTCGGGATTGCGGGCGGGCCCTCATTTTGCAACCGGTTTGTTTCGGATGGGGGTCACAGATGTCACAGTGGAAACATGGCAAGGAAGGGAAGGCCGAAGCTGAGTAGCTGTGTAGCAAAGACACCAAGACGAGATCCTCAGCTGAGCAGTGCTAAACTCAGCTAGGCAGGCCCTCGGGATATTTTGTATTTTCCCTTTTTTGGGGTTTAAGAGGATCATACTTAGGAAGATTTCTCAGAGGGGGCTTAAGGGCCGCCCAAGTCAGAGCTGATATCTTCGAAGCCTCCTTTCGGATTCTCAGGGCCCTGCACAGTGGATGTCGGCACAGCGTCAGCCCTCACTCTCCACGTCGCCGTCCCTTTGGGGGCACTACAGGCTCGTGACGCCGGCAGCCCTAGACCTTAAGCCCTAAAGCCTAAACCCCAAAATTTCAACCTGGGCCTGAAACCCTAAACCCTATAAACCCTATAAACCCTATAAACCCTATAAACCCTATAAACCCTCTAAACCCTATAAACCCCCCAAAAATCACAAGAAAGTGGATTTTGGGTTCCTGAGGGCCCCTATAGCGGCTTGAGTTGCGACTCGACTTCCCTCGGAGCCTCCTCTTCTTTCCGGTCCCTTGTCGACCGTTGCCGAAGGTTGGTTTAGAGTTTAGGGTTGGAGTTTAGGTGTTTAGGGGGTTTAGGGGGTTTAGGGGGTTTAGGGGTTTAGGGGTTTCAAAGTTCAGGGTTCGATAGGCTAAGAAGCAGCTTCCAACGTCAACATCTCCAGGCGCGTTGAAGCACGGCAGCCTTTGCAGCAGCATCCTTCCCTTTCCAGCCTGGGATAGCTTCCTTGCCCTTGCATAAGGGTGCCATGGTCGTGCAAGTCACACCGGCACGGCAGGGACTCGACATGCAAAGCGCGCAAAGGTCTCGCATCCCCCCATGCAAGGGTCGCCATTGACGTGCTCCAATCCCTAAACCCTAAACCCTAAACCCTAACCCTTTTGATTGCTTAGGCATAGAGGGTCCCCAAGAATGTGGCATCCAGAGGCCGAGACGGGCCAACAGCTCCAGTGACATGTCCTTCAACATCGAGGAAGTGAAGTTTTGTGTAGTGACAGTGGCAGCAACACGGATTCTTCTTGGTTAAGGGTTTAGGGTCTAGGGTTCATAGGGATATCCCAGGGAAGCTGCAGTTTCCCAAACTTAGGCATTGCCTAACATGCAGGGCCCACATCACAGGACCATGTTGCTGTCAGTTCAGGGCCCCGGAAGACGGGGGAACCTACCATTCTCTTTCTTGCCTCCGGCTGCACAGAAGGGACCCACCCCCCCTTTTCTCGACAAGAAACCCTAAGACTGTCACTCAGAGACCTGCGGTTTAGGGTTTAGGGCTTCGAGGGATTTGCCCGAAATGATCCTCTCGCAGGTTCCCACAGCAGCAGCAAGACTCTGAGATGCTTAGTTGACTCATCTTCCGCACAAGAGTGCTCCTGCCTTCCAAGCCTGCAGCTGGCGGCAGCCGTTGAGCATAATATGTGGCTGGCCAGGCGCTGCACCCAGGCATGTCACAAAAGTTGCGGTGGACTTCATGAATGCTACTGGTGTGGGGTTTAGGGTTTCGGGGTTAGGGTTGCTTAGGGTTTAAGGTGCCAGAAGCCGCATGGCATGATCAAACATGGTGCATGGCGAAGAGTGGGGCCCGAGACCCCAGGCCCCAAGCAGAGAGCCGTGTCCCTGATGTGTTTGCTCCGCGGTGTGGCGGGACATGATGTCCAGCTTCTTTGACATCACCCCTGAGCTACTCAACCCAACCTGATGAGAGGGTTTAGGGTTTAGTGTTTCCGGTTTGATGGGTTGATCTAGGGAGTAGACTCGGCACAGGGATGATTCGCAGGTCGCCCCGAAGTGCGCTCCCGGCCGACTTGGGCGTTCTGCAGATGAGGGGCACACGATCCTGAACGCGATGTGAAGGTCCTGTGTATTGTCAGAGGAAGCCTGTCAATATTTGGAAAAGTCGGGCTGTTGAGGTCCCTGTGTGGCATCTTTGTGTAGGGACAAGACATCGCTAAACAACGCACGACGGCAATTTCGCACGACCAAGTGCTGCGAGGAGTCTGGCGATCACCCCCACATTCACATTGCTAGGAGCCCAATCCAAGTTCGGCGTACGGAGGTTGAGTAGGGAATGAGGGAATGAGGTACCCTTCTCAAAGTAAGGCATGCTGACATCGACTCGGTTTCAAAATGTGTGTGACACAGTTCTGTGGTGCATGCGTCTCTGCCCAGCAGGCTTTCCACCAACTTTGTTCCTTGTGTGTGATCTGTTTGTTCTTCGAGAACAAAAGGACTCCGACAGCGGCGCTAGACGGGAGTGAGGTGCAGAGAGCCAGGTCGAGGGTGGATAGGGGAACAAGGACGATGCTGAATCATGGAGCATCCGGATGATTTACACACCGGGAGCAACTCCAGAAAAAAATCGCAAGTCTGCCACCCTAGCCATCGATGCGACCCCATGTATCTCCTTAGAATTTATAGGGTTTAGGGTTAACTCCTTGAAGATTTTTCGAAAATCTCCTGCGGGGCTCACACCCCGAGATCCTCCCATAAGGCCCTTTCTCTCCGAGTCCCTCGGTCACTTGGACCTGCGAAGGAAGGTCCTCCGCAT